TCTTTGCTCAGTTTGAGGCGCAGCACACACAACGTTAATGACTTCACGTGGTAAGAGACAATTTTAAATTAACGGATGTTGCGAGTTATAAGTCCGATTTCTCCTATATTCTTAACATGCTCTCCTCTTCCAAGTCAAATCGAACTACCCTCTTTGCAGACGCTACACATTTACTGTCGCCGTCTTGTCTTAGAGAGGCCAAATGTGTCCCAGATAACCTGACAATTCGTGGCGTGTCATCCATTAGTCGGCTTAATGTGCCTCCCATGGCCGGTGTTCGAGTCGGAACGGGTCGGCAGAGGCGAACGGTACGCCCATTTATTGGTGCCAGATGCTGCTGAGGCTAACGGTGATCCTGTGAATTTCCTACAGACTGTTTCGGATTCCGTCTGGTTGTGTATCGAAGTTGCTTGTTTAGACTTTGACGAACCGACGTCTAGCCGAAGCGTGACGTTGGCGTTCTTTTTCCTTCAAATGGGAGGGTCCATGAGACTATCATTGGGAATTGTGTTATTTTCCATGTGAATCAAGATTCAAGATAGTCGGGCAAGATTACGCACAACTCGTGTCCCTTTTCCTAGGTTTGTTTTATTGTTGTGATATTAAAAGGTTAATTTTGTCTATTTTAATTAGTCCATTATTTCTCAACCGTCGCTAGTGAAAAGAGATATTTCCATTTGAATTTGCATGGGCTGCCAAATAATAATCGTCGTCATCTTCTTCACCATCATTACCGCCCTCGTCGTTCCTTTCTGATCAACTTTTCGATCCACTTGGCACATAGATCTGCATTCTACAGTTTCTATTCGCCTTTTCCAACAAATTCTATTCAGTTCATTAATAAAATGTGTTGATCAGATGGTTTGTTGCCTTTTAAGACATATTGTGACTAAACGACTTTCTAGAAATTTGGGAGTAAAGGGATGATATAATGCCCAAATTGATAAATTAAGACAAATAATATTAATTTAACGGAATAAATTATCATGGCGTTGAGGAGTTATGTAAGACGAGTAGGAATTAGATACAGAGAACTCAGGAGCCGCTGATAACGATACGCGGCAACAAATAGAAATCTCTTCTCCACCGTGGGCATGGCTTCAAAACTTTGACCTTGAACCACCTGGATCACATGAACTGGCCAGAATTCAGCGACATTTTGTGTGGTCATGATCCATGAAGCTCGATCACCTGCTGGTGGCGCTGACGGTGGCATCAGGGAATTGCCTGCAGACAGGTCCCAATATTGCGTCCGGTTTTTATGGAGGCTTTCCCTTCTGGCCTTTAACGAACGGAAATCTAACCGCAAGCTAGAAAAAATATTACCAATCGTTCTTCTTCAAAGAGGTGGGTCGCCTTCGCCTCGAAATGAGACTGTCTTTGGGGACGTTGATTTTTTTTCTGACGAACTCAACCAAGACACGCGCAGGTGGTCTTCTGGTCATCCAGGTGCCCTTCCGCGACTGCTTACTTGTCGCATCTAACCTCCATATCTGGGGGTTGCTACCCTATCCGTAACCCAGGAACCCTCAAGATGGCCAGCAGCTATACTTGTTGTTTGATTCTGATCTTCAATACTATGCATAAGCTGAACTTCGCGACTTAAGGACTGAATTTCTAGATGAAATCCGACACCTAAACAGCATACGCCCAATTTATGCATTGGAGTTTTCAAAGTTTGGTACTGGGAACTTTGGAGTTTGAAATGTGAGTGAAGTGATCAGCTGGGAGACATAATTGAGGAAGAAGACCGGCCGTTGCAATTCTGTTGCCCTCATGACACTTCGTTACTCGTAAAACCCATCATAGACAGTGGGCCACGAAAAAGCCGACTCTGTACTGAAATCCAATCAAATAAACAGTGGTCAATTGCGACGTCTCACCATCATCAAACTGCTGGAACCCATTCGGATGCGGTCACCATCAAGAGCACACATCAGCCTTGAGTGGCGATCGCATGCGCCAGTCGCTGCCGTGATTCCGTCGGCCATGACTGATTGTCGGTCGTAAAAGTATGCTCTGAAAAAGCACCTCGGA